GGGAGGGAACGGCAGCGGGCGGCGGAACCCGGCCTTGTCTGTCAGGACTTTAAAAAGTCCTCTAAAAAAGGTCTTTTGTTTTATATTTGTTTTGGTTTGGTACTTTCTCGCATCCCCCTCGGTAATTCTGATCCTGAAGCTGGCTGCTATTTCAAGTGTGGAATGAGCAGGCAAAAAAAAACCAACCCACACTCTGAGTAAATATAGGCAAGTTGAAAGTGCTTACGTTTGGAAACGTGTACAGCGATTGTATTAAATGAGTGAAGAAAGGGAAAAAAAGTGCTTACTTCCATAATATACATGTGAAGAGCGGGCAGAGCAGTGATCCCTTTGGGTGCCATAGTGCTCTGTTGTATTTTATCGATGTTTACAGTGATTTTGCGAATTAAACACCATTTTTCTGTGTATAAGCGTACTTCACTTCTGATTCCTTAAAACGTGAGTGGCTGCTTGAGGGAGCTTGTGTATTTTCCTTTATAAGATCACAGGGACTATGTCTGGTTATTCTGAAATGAAAGAGCCAGCTGGATTTATGGTAGGTTTGGTATTTTCTGCACATCAGTGGCTGCCCATGGGTGACATGAAGTATAATAGCATTTAAAAAAATAATTCTGTCTTCAATTTTAAGCATTTTGATTGTTTTAAATAGAGATATTCATTTAAATGAGATTTTGAAATTCTCCTTGCTGTGACATTTGTTATACCATATCTTTTAGGGAGATTCTCTGTCTCCTTTTTTTTTTAAAAGAAGGAATCCAGCATTACAGTGCCGAAACTCCTTCTCACACCTAATTTGGAGAGTGGGGGAATAAAGCAAATGGAGTAGAGTTGTGCCTGAAATTTAGTACTTTTGTCACTTTCATAATTGTGGTTTGAAAATGGTTGGACCAGCTGCTGTGAGGAGAAAAAAAAAAAGGCTTGATAGAGTTCACTTTCATTTATATACTTCCCTGTAGCATTCTTTGAAACGTTTTGCAAAGATTAATGTTCATATTATGACAGTGTCCATTGATGTAGATTGTTTCATTTTTAAGGTAGGAGATCTAAAACAAAAGGTTAACTGAGAGAAACCTAGAACTTTAGGACTGACAATAAGATGGTGTGTGGGTTACAAAGTCATCTTTCTTACTTAATAAAAACAATAGAGTTGCACCAGCAGAAGGCACTGAAGCACCAAAATACAGTAAGCTGCTTTTCCCCAGGAAGCGTAGCTAGCAAGTTGTCTGTGTCTCAATAAACATTTCCCATTTCCGTGGGAAATACTGTCTAGTGTGTTCCAAGGCAGTTCAATTTTCATTGTTTCTGATTTTCATTCTGATCTTCATTTTGACTTCTAAGAAGAGTAGAGTTTGAGATAGGCATATTTGATTTAGCTGTTCTGGTGAAGTGACTGACAAAGATTTTATTCACTGCGTAAAATTCTTCATTTCAGTATCTTGCAAGTAGTAAATGTGGCCAGTATGTTGACATTGGAATTCTAGCATCTGATTTGCAGAAAACCTACAGGTGAGCAAAGATTTGTATTCTTATATTCTACATTCAAATTATGGAATGTATGATGTTATTATTTTGTATTTGTGTATTTTTAATAAAAGTTTTAATTTACTTTATGTTAACTTCTTTACCAGCTGTTGAGCTTGATTGAAGTGATAAGATCACTTCCACTCCAGTGTTTTCCTCTGCCAATATATCTATGAACTTATATTTTGTTAATGCATTGGCATTGCAAGATCTAGCTGTGGTTTGTGGGTTTTTTGTTTCTGTGTTGTTTTGGTGTTTTGTTTTTTTTTTAATTAAGCAGCTACAGATGCATTGCAGCACGTTGGTCCTTACCGTATTGAGCTTAAAATATGAGGGAAAATAACTGTTCAGTGCAGGCAGATGGAGGAGATTCAGTAAGACAGTAAATCTTGTTCAGTTGCTCAGCAGGTCACTTGCCTAATTGTTTTTAGGCTGCTATGCTTTTCTGGGTGGGGATCAGGGTTGTGTTTCAGTAGATCGTTGGTGGGTGTGGGAGTTAATGAAGGTGGAGAAGTACATTCATTCATTTGTGTTTGCATGTTGTATTTATTTGTGCGTTGTCAGAGAGAGGGAGCCAGAACCCATGCTTGGGATGATGCTTACAGGTCTTGAGGTGTTTGGGTTTTTTTCTTTGTTTTTTCCCCGTCAGCTACGATATAAAAGCAAATAAATAAAATACACCCTCTGTAAGCGAGGGTGAGAGGCTGATGATTTTTGCTTGCATTTAAGGATGCTTATTGAATCAGATTGTCGCATAGTGACCATTATTATTTAGCACAGTTATTCCTTGCTGGACTGTCCTTTCCGGACCATAGTCCTGTGTCCATATGTTCTTGTTAGAATTAAAATTTTAAAAGTTGGTAGTCTTGTGAAATAGAATCCAATGTGCTCATTTGTACATTGCTGCTTCTCTATATCTACAGTTAAAGAGGACCTTGATAATTTTTACTAAACATCCGTTTAGAGACCAGTATGGTTTGGTGGTTTTGTTTCATCCCAGTGATAGAGCTAGTCCAGGCTTAAGAAAAAGCAATCACGTTTTCACATGGTTGGTTTTTAATACGAGCTTGTGTAGAAGCTTAAGTGTCAGCTTACAATGTATTTTTTCCATCATGAATGACAATATGTTGAGGGGAAAAGTTGGTGTAATCTGTTTGTTTTGTTTGTTTGTTTTCAGTGCAGAATATGGACGAAGAAAAAGAAATGCTTTTAGAATACAAGTTGAAAAAGGTAGTTCTGTTAGTAGTATGTCCAGGATACCAAATTCTTTGATTATGCTTTGTCTGTTTTCTTAACATGTTTGAACTTTTTCTTCCAGTGTTTGGAATAATCAGTAATGAAAAAGAACGTGAAGATCTAGCAGTTTTAGAAGCTGAACACGTGGCAAAAAGAGCAAGACAACAAGAGAAAAATGAGTAAGAATTTTTACCCTTAGATTACTTTAATAATGCCATTAGTATTAGCATTTCTTAAAAGCTTTCTGTCTTCATATTATTAAATTTTGGTAGTTTCAAGGTTACAGATAGATCCTTGATTTCCCATAGGCTTGTCGTCTTCAGAAGTTACCTGTAGTTAATGGAAGCATTTTTTTTTTCACTTGAAGACAAGCAGATGCTAGAGCTGATCATGATTTTTCTGTGGTGGGGAACATAGAGCCCTGAATTAGTGGACATCCTCGGGGATTCCTTGATAGTTTTCCACATGAGGGCCCAGTCCTCATGTGATTCAATTCCTTTGTTTTGTTCTTAATCTTTCTTGGGTGTGAGAGAGATCAGCTGAAACTTGGAGATAAGACTACAAGGCTATTCAGTGTAAATCGCCACTGGGTGTGAGATTGGAATTAAGATTTCCTGAGTCCTAACCCTGTGCATAGTCTCACAGACCGTTCTGGTTTCTCTAACCTGTGATAAATACTAAAGGTCTCCTGGGAAATTAGGACATTGTTGTCAGAAGGACTAGTCTAGTTCAGCAGTGATTTGCTGCTACTGCCCTTTTGCCAGCATTGGTGATTGTGTGATCTCTTGGTGATGTAGGATCAATGTGATTCAGTTCACTTTTTTTTTAGGACTGTCTTTCAGCCAGGTTGCCAAGTTGATCCAACTCATCACAGACTTGGAAAGGATGTGTGTTTTAACTCTTCGTAGTAGTAAATTTAGAGCACACAAGTTGGGAACTTTTCTCCAGTCTTAGGCTACGTCTCGTGGTTGTGGGGAACCACATTGTGGAAATTGCATTTGTTTTGTTGTGTGGGTGTCTCACTTGCAGTTCTGCTCTGATACATTAGTTTTTGTATTCCTTCTGTGTAAAGGACTGCAGGAAGTGCCACAGATGACTCTGATTATGATGATTATCCAGAAGATCTAGTAAGTTGTATTTTATTATGATTATATTTGCATAACACATGATTCTGTGTTGTGAAATTGCAATGCACTTGGAGAGTTTAAAAGTGGAGATGAAGATGAGGTATAGTCAGAGCTGGCAATTCCAGCTGAGAACCTCTGTAGCTAAAAGGAGGCTGTTTTCTGAAGAAAAAGGAAGAACCTGTGGTGGGAAAGCACGCTGGGGGCCTGAGAGACTTGGCTATCAAATGAATGAAATGATTGAAGGAACCGACATATCTGACTATTACTGAAAGAGATGACTGTCAGTCGACAGGGATTGTTTCAGGGTAAATTGCAAAGGCTGCTGCCTCTTCAACCAGCACATGTAGTTTTTGTATGCAGTCATTTGATTTGCAGAGGAGTGGGTTGGAAGATGCACGATTGTTTTCTCCAGCAGGGATAATGCTAAATGATGTTTATGAAATAGTTTTCATTGGCCTCTTAATATCAATAATCAAAGTTATAACCTGTATATTTTCTTTTAAAATACATTGAATCTGCAGTCTACAAATCACATGAACAGTTCCCTACTGAGCTTATACAAGAAAGGAAATCCCGAATCTGTTCCAACCACTCCAAAAAATGAGCCAATGGAAACCCCACCTCCTGTGCGAACAGCACCTCAAACAAGCACCCTCTCACCGGGAGCGCGAGCTGAAACTCACATCTCTGAAGGTGGCTGGTTCATTGATAAAACTCCATGTGGAGAAGACTTTTTCATTGACCTTTCTGAGGATGGAGAAGATGAAAAGAAACTGATTTCTGAGGTATTGTGTTTTACAAACCCAATGTGATTCAAGTGGCAAGTATGAAAATAGAATTTCTTGTGTAATTTGACAGGGTTTTGAAGGGTGATACTAAGACCAAAAGGACTGTCTGTCTCTTTCTCTGGATTTTTAAAATGTTATTTTTACTACAAACATGCAAGCTGCTTAAAGACAGTGAACGTGTTACATAGAAAGGAAAGATTGGCTTAAACCCAGTGGATTATTTGTTTTTCACTTTGTTTCTGAAGAAGGAAGGACTTAGTCTATAGTTCTGCCATGTCAGAAGTGATTTTTGAACCTTCTGGCCCATTTCGAGCATGTTTGTATGGGAGGTGAAAAGTCAGAAAATTACAGATTTCTTCTACGTTTTTTGAGGAAAATAGGAACGTAACTGTTGTTTATTCCGTTGTGACCAGTGACCAGCCTAACTAGCCAGGAAGCATGTGGCCTGTTGTAGCCCTTAGCATGTGGTCTCCCTTAGCCAGTGGTTAAGTCTTAGTGAGCCTGGGGAATGCTGAAGGTTTTTGGATGGACGAGAGTTGGGGAAGTTGAAAGGAGATTGCGTTGATTCATAAAGCACTTAAAAATAGGTCCCATCCAGACATATTGCCCACTTTGTGATCGCCCCCTTAACTTTTTTTCTTATTTAGAAAAAAAGCAACTTTGTTTAACTATGGGAAACTTTCCATTTATGTATGGGAGATAAGGTTTATGTTGTTGTTTGGCTGACCAGACATTTTGGCAGGATGCTGTTTTTTTTTGTAAAGGAAGAACTATGTTTACATCTACCTTTCTGATTACACAAAATGCTTACTGAATAGGCAGATTTTACAAATCATCCCTTTATCCTAGTAGTACAGCATCTTCTTACATAGAGAATTGGATAAAAGGAATTAAAGGGAGATCTTCAAATTGTAAAATGGTTGCAATATTGTATTCTAAAAAAAAACCCAAACCACAAACAACCAAAGAACCAACTTGCATTGAAGCTCTAATTTTTTCTTTTCTTCTGTTTTAGTCCTTTTCTTACATGCAGTTAACTTCTGTCATCACCAAATACTTTCTTACAGCCACTCATGACTTATTACTAGTAATGAAAATTGTTTCCATTGGAGTAAATATGTTGATACAGTTTCATTGATCCCCAAAGTGGATTGCTCTATGGTACGCAAATAACTGGTATCTGATTTTGGTTAGTGGGTTGAGGTGGTGGTGGGGAAGCTTTTGGGGTATTTTTGCTTATAAGTATGTATTCTTAGCGAAAAAGTGACTGGTGTAGTTAGCCCTTTAAAAAAAAAAAAGGCAAATACTATGTAAAAAAGGATTTTCTACAAAAAGAAGGGGCTGAATTCCTGCCTTGCTTATCTTTATTCGTATAATATGTGTAAGTTAAGCATCATAGATGCTTACACATTGTGTTCTTTCAAGTATCTGCAGAAATTCACTGTCTTGGAAAGTTTTGTGTATATAATTCTGGTTTTATGCTCTAGAAATCAACAGAATTTTCTGTCTTGGAGAGTGAAAGAAAAAAGACAAAGGGTAAGAGAACAAAAAGAAAAAAAGAAGACTTTCCAGATGTAGATGGAGAAATTGATGCCACCTTACTTAAACGGAAAGGTGAGAAGTTATTTTTGGCGTGTTGCTCCAAACAAGGAGATGGCATTTGACTGTGGAATCTGTTACCAGAGAAATGTTTTCTGAGGTGCTGAGAAGTGACCTCGAGTGGTCTTTTAAAGAAATTTAGCCTTAATGTTGTACTAAAAAAATATTCCAGTCATGTGTCTACTACCAAAAATAATACTACTCCCTGTACTTAGCTAATTGTTTAGGCTGAGTACTTTTCTATTCTGTGTTAGCAACTGTTGTGCCATGTCTAAATTTACATGACTTTTACTCCTTAACAGTTAGAAGTAAGGGACCAGCACTTTACCACCCTTCAGTGAAGTTTGAGGATGTAGGAGGCAATGATGAAACTTTAAAGGTTAGTTGAAATTTTGTATGTGGGATACAGAATGCACTGAATAAAATGTCACATGAAAAATGACAGAAGAAAAAAATCTGGCAGAATTCATCTGCATGGCACTGGGAATAGCTGCTTATACCAGCAGCAACAAAGTTTTGTTCTTTTCTTTCCTTTAATGAATCTTTCTGAAAGTAGCCACTGAAATTACATTATTTGAACTTGCTTTATTTTGGCCTATCTATAATACTATCACTCTATAATACTAATTCCTGCAATTTAAATGGAGATCTCTCTTGTTCTTAACAGGAAATATGCAAGATGCTCATTCATATCCGTCATCCCGAAGTCTATAACCACTTAGGTGTGGTTCCACCTCGCGGTTTTCTTTTACATGGACCACCAGGATGTGGAAAGACACTACTTGCACAAGCAATCGCTGGGGTGAGATAGCTTTAAATTTACAGTTTCTTTTTCTGGATTATATTCTGAGAGGAAAAAAAGTAAACCCCTCTT